TGGTGAGATGCGTTTCTTCAGATACTGGTGAGAGCTAGGAAGACCAGTTTGAGTAACAGATTCATACGTTTTGGGTTTTTTCAGATGCCAAAATACTACAATAGTTTATAATACTATGAGGAATAATTTGACAATTCATTTTCACAGCTGCAACTATTTTATCTTACTGTACTTAACCATGATCACGAGGTACAAATACAGTGTTCATGGTACAAAATGATCGAGCAGGAACATACAGTACGCTTGCCACCGCAGTGCCTTGCTGGATGATGTCAGGTTGCTGTTAAAGATGAACCAGGTTGAACCGTTTTGCTGGATGAGCATGGGTTGTTTTACTGTAGTTCACATCCCCATACACTAGTGGAATGAGAACGCTGCATTTTTTCATGCAGAGCTAGTGGAAGCTAGTGCACGTTTGTTGTGTTTGAACATAATTAGTTGGAGACAGGGTTAGATGAGAATTGATGACTGGCTCATTGAAAAAATTGTGCTACATGAACAGAGCAAGAGATGAATAGAGAATACAGGAAATTATTTGTATTGCCTCTTTGAGACCTTGTGAGACCTCATGAGTCATGAGAGCTTTTGGGTAGAACTAATATGCTAAAACTGGGTGACTCTTTTTGAGTCCACAGCTCTAAAACGTATCTGCTGTATACATCGGCTAATGCTCTGTTTGAAGAACGGTAAACAAAATACTTTTCAGGAAATGAACAATAATGTTTTCAGGTCCATTTGATATGTGACTCCTTGTATGCAACTGCGCTTTGTGTTGTACAGTCGTCTGCGTCAAAATGAAATGGAGCTTGCATTGTTTTGGGTAGATGATGCTTTGTAGGGTGTTTTGGGGGAGGGCAACTCACAGTGTCTTGCATTTACGTTAGTGGCAGTCTTTGACATACACACTCACATTGGCACAGGCGTTAACAAAGCCATGTGCACACCGGTGTAGACAGATATTTGCAAAGGTGCAAACACACTGATACACATACAGGTACAAATGCTCAAAGATGCACACAGAAAAACACACTTAGGAAAAGATAGGCTACACTTGGCTACATGAAGCATCCTTGCGAGGATTAAATCAGCACTTCAAAAGAACAGGAAACAAAAACACTCCCAGCGGTGGAGAGGGGAGCTGAGACTGTCACCACCAGTAAGAGCGAGGGGTTGGGAGAGAAGGAGAAGGAGGGAGGAGTTTTCAGGTGTGTATGGAAGGTGTGTATGTGTGTGTGTTGGTAAGTATGATCATTGTATAGAGTGTGTGTGTGTAATTTTACTGGATACCTGTTTGAAGTTGGTAGATCCTTTTTTGGAATAAAACTGTCAAAACCTTTTCTCAGTGTAGCTTTATTTAAACCTGTGTGAATATTAGTTTCATCTGATAATTTCAAAACCTAGAGTAATATATAAAAATGCTTTTCCTCTGCATTAAATCAAATATTATCCTGTATGATCTAATGCTTTTGTTAATTGTTTAAAAAAATGACACTGAATCCCCAAGTTGCCCCCAACGGTTAGAGCCATTGGTTGAGTTGACACCGCAGATGACTGCCTCAGTTCTGGAAACAAATTCCTTGTGTGTAACATACTTGGCCAAATAAAGGTGGTTATTATTATTTTCTGTGCATGTCCGTGTGCACAGGTGGAGTTTGAGTGGCTGCGGCAGTACTGGTTTCAGGGCCAACGCTACGCCCGCTTCTGCAGCTGGTGGACCAGACCGATGGAGCAGCTGGAGAAGGACTGGAAGCTCATGGAGACCATGGTAAGATCACTCAGACCGGCTGCTGCTTTCTCAGCTTGTGTGTGTCACTATAAAAAATATATAATTCTTATAATAATAATATTAATATTACGAAGGGTAATATCTAATATTTTCACAATAGAAACATCAATCTTCAAAAATATTACTATTATAATTATAAGATTTTTAAGTGTGGAATGAATGATAATAGTAATAATGCCTCTACATTGTATACATTTATTATTATTATTATTATTATTATTGACAATAATAATAATAATAATAATAATAATAATAAATGTATACAATGTAGAGGCAATTATTATTATTGTCAATAATAATAATAATAATAATAAATGTATACAATGTAGAGGCAATTATTATTATTATTATTATTATTATTACTATTATTAACAATAATAATAATTGCCTCTACATTGTATACATTTATCATTATTATTATTGATGATGAGAATAAAAACACTTTTATCCTTTCTCAGAAATTTGAGCAACTTCATTACTACTACAGTCAGCCTGTCATTTTTCTCAGTGCTCAGCATGCTTGTGCTTCTTACCCAACTACACAAGTGATCTACTGTCCAATAATGCTCTTCACTAGGGAGGGTGTGTTTAACCTCTAGAGTCCCTGCGTCCTCATATGAGGACCGCACAGCTTGGGTTTCCAAAGCTCAGGACTCTAGAGGTTATAGTTACATGGTAGATTGTCCAACGTTTCACCACAGGGCATTATTAAGGATTTGTCATGTGTTTAATTGTAGCTTCAGAGACGTTTTATTGGAGAGCTATTAGTTAGAAAAGAAACACTAAGCATTGTCAGAGTTGTAATTAAGTCACCTTAGTCACAGCTCTGTACTCTACATATCTGCTGTCGACACACACATGCACACATTAGTTGTTGATGTACAGGACATAAACCAAATGCAGTGCAAATGCAGAACCAAGCATAGATGCATAGATGCTTGGTTCTGCATTTTCTCTCTACAGGTCACACACAGTCCCTCACAAGGTTTCGAAGTGTGTGGTGTGCTTATGTTTGTTGGTGTGTGTTGCAGACATGCAGACACCAAAAGCAGCAGGGGGCACTCTTGTATCACTGTAGCAGCAGTGGAGAGAACGAAAGAGCTGTGCTCCTCTTTTCCTCTCTGCTCCTCACTCTCTCTCTCCCCCTCTCTGTCTCTGTATGTCTCTCATCCACTCCTGCTGTCTCTGGGAGCTCTCTGTCTCTGTCAGTGTCGAGTGCTGAGCAGTAATCACATCTAATGCTCAGGCGGGGATAAAGACAGGGGCTGGAGGAGAATAGTACTGCTGCTGCCGACGCTGTTCAGCACTAGTCATAGTCTCTCTCTCTCCCTCTCTCACACCGTGGAACAGCCTGGCAGAGGGCGGGTGTGTGGGGGTAGTAGACTGGGGCTAAACTCATCTAGAGCCCCACCTCCGGGTCCAGATGAAGTGTGTGATTTGGACCTGTATTTAGGAAAGGGCATCAGTGAAATGTGAGGTCTTTCTCTCTATGTTGTCTCTAATGGACAAGAAAACTATATCCACTGTGTGTTAGTGTGTATGTCTGTGTTCATGTGTGGATTTCTGTCATGCAGTGGTAACTTAGCGTCAGCCTTTAAACAGTACAGCAAATCAAATGTGAATCATATTTTGTTAAATCAATAAAATAAGATCATTTAAAAAATAAGAATATTTTAATATACTGTATATCTGAACAAACAAAATGAAATTGTATGTAGAATGTTTTATACATGTGCATCTCAAATCACTAACATAACACTAACTTGTCTAAATCCTTAACATACAGTAACTAATTTCAAATGTCAAATCATACAAAAGCCAGTATGTCTTTTGCAAAAATGCATATTGAGCATATGCAAAAAATAATACAGTGGTGAGCTCATAAATGTAATGATTCACTATTGTGATGAAAGACAACATTATTGCTCTGGCAAGCATTATTTACATACATGTATTGACCTGTGATACGCTGATGAAAAGCACTTTACAGATGTGACTTATAGATTTTTCTGTTGTGATAGCTGTGGCTTTTCTGCAGTTAGATTAAAACACATTTCTCTAAATTACTTTGACTTATTTAAATTATGTGGGTTCCCCTCTACATTCCTTTATTGCATATATTTTACATTTTGAAGCCGCAAATTGACAGCATAGTGTGATTTAGTGAAATATAAGTGAGCTGCTGTGTGCGGATGCTGTTTGCCATTTATTTATTTAGACTTTTCTGTTCTTGCCTGCTGAGTATATTTTAATACAGAATTATTTTTGTCAAATTTGATATCACCATGGGTGTTATGAAATTACAAATATATGTCTCTTTAAATAGGGCTTATAAAATGGCACTGTGTTGTTTTATACACTGTGCTGTAGCAATAAAACTGCCTATTGTTTTATCCTGCTAAAATAGCAATACAAACAGCCAGACTTCCTCTCTTTATTGTCATATTTAGCACACAGTGTTGCAGGATGTGCTGGGCTATGTATGCATTTGTTAGTCTGTATGAAGAATATTGCAATATGGGGGACTAGCTCCTGTTTATGGATACGGCCTCTCCCTGGGGCTGCCTTTCTGCTCCTCATCCTGTTGTCATGCAAATACTCATCCTTCCATTTGAATGACATTCTGATAAAATACATAAATAAATAAAGAAAGAGCCGAAACAAAACAAGTCCACTCGCTTACTGGCCTCTTTTTTGTACCTCATGAATTCATGTGGTTCCTTGATAGAAACAAAGAGGCACGCTGCCGACTAAACTTCAAGTGTGGGTGTGTGTACGTGTATGTACAACCAAACTATGATGTGTGAATGTGTGTGTAGTGTATATAAGTTAAAGGTTGTTTCTGAAGGATGAAAGAAGGACATTAACTTAAAGGTTTTACATTCCCCTGTGAGCCAGGGTGCTGAAGTCCATTTAGACCTGCCTGTCTCGCAGCCTTATGTTCCCTCTGGAGTCTCCTATCATGGCTATCATACAATAGTGACATTTCCTTAAACTAACAACAGTGAATAGTTTCCATCTGACTGACAATAGACCGAGACTCCTGGCTTTATGCTGAATATTTTAAGTACAGTTTTTTTTTTTTTTTTTTTTTATCTTTCCTTTTTTTACTGTGGGGGAGAAGCGACAGCGATGAGCCCATGAGCACATTTCCCTCTTTTTTTTTTGTCCTGTCCTCTGCGTGTGTTTGTGCAAGTGTGTGTATGTATGTGTGTACCATTGATGTTAATGTATGCACTCGGCATGACTTTAATTGATTTAGCAGCTCTGCTTGCATAGTACAGCCTTTTCCCTAATTTGTCACTTTCCTGACTTCTGTGGCTGCTCAACTCACAACTTCAAAAGCAGCAGCAGATGCAAATTCAATGCGCTCTCTCTCTCTCTCTCTCTCTCTATGTTCTTTCACTCTCTTGTTCTGTCTTTCTTTCACTCCCACTACCTCACCATATCTCTGTCTCTTTCTCACAATTTCTCCCTCATTTGACAGCAAAATGAGCCTTGTAGATGGAAATCTTTTCAACACATATCAAGGAAATTAATTTGCTTCCATAATAAATGGGATCCACTCAGCTGAATGCATTTGTATACTTCAAGATGTACAAAACAGGAAGTGGTAAAAGGGCCATGTCTTTCTTTACTCCATTCACCCAGCCTGTCACTCCCTGTTTTCTAGCAGTTTGGACACACACACACACAGACATATGCACAGTGCACACACTCTGTTTTTTCTTATTGTGTGACAGAATTTACCTCCTCAGATTTATAATGGAGGTGTGTGCGTGTGCAGGGATGTACTTGGTAACTGTTTCATCTTCTTCCCTCACTTAAATAACAGCCTTTGGAAACAATCTGGACTGCTGAAGTGGGTTGCACTGCAATCATGCACAGTCTGGCCCCATTGCCATCGATAGCTGATTAGGTTATTGACCTAGCATGTGGAGGGGTGGGTGCGCAGCAGGGGTTGTGGAGGGAGTGATCAGTAGTGAGCTTTCCGGAAAATCTGTAGAGAAAGAGAGACAGAGAGAGGGAGACAGAAAAAAGAGAAGCGCGAGAAGGGTTGTATGTGTGTCTGGTGGAGGAGGGTTGGGGGGTCAATGTAAATGTTATTGCTGTGTGAGCTCATTTGATCAAAGTCCTGGAAAGGTTAAGCGAATCCAATCTGGTTTTGTATGGCAGAGTGGAGACACAGGCACTAGGGAAGAAACCCCCAGGACGGAGAATGGATTATCATATTGGCGCTGGAGAAGCAGGGGCCTCCGACGGACAGTTTACCCTGCCCGTAATGCGTTTAGACAGCAATTGGCCTTAATAACCTTTATTGACTTCAGCGGGTCAGTGCCAAGAATCTAATTATCAAAGTGTATCAATTTCATTGGAGTTTAGAGTTGCACCGCTCAAAATAATTATTTTAAGGTCAGGCCAGGGCAATTAATCCCCTCCACTTATTTGATGGCTTTGTAAAACATTATAAATGTTATGGTTTCTGTTGTGCATTTCACCGTAAATAATTTTAGGGTGCAATTTTTTGTAATGTATTATTTGGAGAGTTTGCTGTGCTGGTCCAGCTGAGGGATAAAGTGAAAGCTAGAGGCCACAGTTTAATCATGTTGCAAATGTTTACCAGCAGTCATTTTTCTCTTTCGCTTGCTGCTTTACTTGCACAGTCAAGCAGAGTTTTATACCCACTTTATATGCACACATGGAACCAGATTAATTATAAGTGTGAACTAAGCAGTAAACTGTTTAAAGACCATTTTTATTGCTCATTATGAAGCCATTTATTATCTCTTATGTTAAATTACAGTGTTTATGTGTGGTATTGTTTTGCATTTTAAGCTCTGCACAAATAGGCTTATACATTTATTATATTCCAATTTTGTGTGGTTCCTACACATATATACAGTATGTGTATGTTTATATCTGTGTGTATGCATGTAGGTTTGTTTGTAAACGTGTGTGTGTGTCAATGTGTTTTTGTG